TAAAATAAAGGCATAAATATATCAGTGACGTTAAAAAAAATTAAAATAATGCCGCCATCTTGATGACATCAAAATCGTTTTTAAAAATAATTATTTGGCGGGAAATTAATCTTCTTCATATTTATATATATATATATATATATTTCATACCAGTTTTATATATATATTTATGTTGGTCACACCACAAACCGGCTTTCACGATGCTTGACACTACATTTGAATGATAACTCTTACATTTTTAGGCATTTAAAACCACATGCCTGGCCGCATACACAATCCCGGAAAATCCTTGTTGAAAAAGCAACTATACTTAAACATGAAAACTAAACAAAAACTAAAAATTCTTGAAGCTTTATACATAAAACAGTTGAAACCTAACCTGAACAAAATAAACTATGAAATCTCCACAAATATTCTTAAATGCCTATAATTGATAACAGAAGCCATTGGTTTATACCAACGGCTTCCCATACTTAATACTTCTCGTTTTCACTCTCGCGTGGTCATGTGTGACGTCACGAGCTGCGACGCGATTTTCGCTTCCAGCGTCTTATATATACACGAGTTTGTCGTTGCTTTGAAATCTTCCATGTAAACAAAAACAGACTATCATTATTGTTTTGTCCGTGTATTGCTTAATATATATTGAAAATGTAATTGTCATCTTTGATAATGGCTTATGTAAGCCGAAAGCTTAGATAGGATTTAAAAATATGTATCAATATTGTGATTTTCTTTCGTCTTTTTATGATAATGTTATTAAACTTATCAGACAATATGAAAAGAACTTACTTAAAATAAATAGACAAAACTTGTCTATATTATTTAATGAAACATGCATCAATATATATATATATATATATATATATATATATATATATATATATATATATATTATATATATATATATATATATATATATAATTATGAATACAAATAATATTTAATAAAATTAGATAATGTATATAATTTTATTATTTGCATTTCATAATATTCAATTTACATCTAAATTGTTTGTCAAAATTTTTTTTTTATTTTATAATGCAACGATATTTTTATATTTATTAAATTTTAATTATTTTTTTTTATTTATATATAAACTTGTATTGCTTTTATAAATAAATATCAAATAAAAATTTATATATATATATTACATATATTATTTTTATTGATTTTTTTTTTTAAATATTAAAATTTTATTTATTTATTTATTTTAAATAATTTTTTTAAAAAAATTAATTTCTTTAAATGAAAACTTTATTTAAAGAAATTTAGTCCATTTTTTTTAAAAATGTCTTTCTTTAAAAAAAATGTATAAATAATTGAGTCCTTTTAAAAAAAACTTGGTTTATTTATTTATATAAATGTAAAAAAATGTCATTTTCTTTTAAGAAAAAAACTTGTCGATTCCTCTTCTAATAACGTTTAATTTTTTAAAATGTTTTTATTTTTCATTTTACATGATTATTTTTTTGTTAACTAAATTAATCAACATTGTATATATTTTTAATTTCTTTTTATACTTTTTTCAAATATAAGAAAAATTCAATATATTCCTTATCTATATATTTTAAATATGAAATTTAAATTTAAAATTTGTATTTTAATTTAAATTTAAAAAAAAAATTTCCAATTTGAATCCTTATAATAATTTTGTTTGTTTTTTATATTATAAAATTTAATTATTTTATATTTTTTTTATTTAAATCAAAAAATCCTAAATTTCAAATTTAAAATTTATATAAAAAATGAAATGATTATTAATTTTTATTAAGTATAAAAAATATAAATATCTTTTTTTACTTTTATCAGAACATTTTTAAAAAAAAATTTATATTTAAGCATATATTTAAATATTTCCAAATATTTTTATTTTTGAATCCTTAAATATCTAAGAAAATTATTTAAAAAATTTTTCATGTAATTTTATTCGATTCCAAAATTTTTTTTTTTTTCTAATTTTATTTCAAAACCATTTATTCTAATTCTTTCTTATTGATTTCAAATCTCCAATTCTTTGTTACAAATCTTTTTGATTGATCCAACAATTTAAAAAAATTAAATAATTGACTGATTTTTATAAAATTTTCATACATAAAATTTATAAAAAAAAATTTCTTAATATAAATATATTATTGATATTCTATTTTGATAAATAAGTTAAAAATTTAGTAAATCGTTTCAAATGAATCAAGAAAATTTATAAAAAGCTTCCAATTTTAATTCATTCCACCTTCAAATCATTTCTATTTTTAAAATCTAAATCAAAAAATTTTGATTATTTTCCGATATTATCGTCCGTTATCAATTTTTAGTTCTTAGCAAAATAAATTTTTGAAAATCAAATTTTATTTTTTTTCTCATTTTAACATTAAAGGTTATAAAATGTAAATTATATATGAAATATTTAAAATAAAATTTTTAAAAATTATTTTTTTCTTATATTTTTATTATTTAACATAAATAATATTTTTATATCAATTAAAAAAAAATTATATTTAATTTATAAAATCATTTTTATTATTTAATTGAAAATGTAATATTTTATTTTTTTGGCCTTATTTTTTTTTTTTTTTTTTTATTATATATAATGATGATAATGTTTTATTTCAAAATGATTTTTCAAGAAAATAAAAATTTTATAATATATAAACGTTTCAAAAAAATTTTTTATCTATTTTAAATTAAATAGGATAAAATGACCTTTAAAATATGTTGATAAATAAAAAAGTTGAAATCAAAGAATTTATTTTCAAAAAAAAAAAAGGAAGGAAATTATTTTTTGGTATTTATTTTTCCTATTTGATATTTTTACTGTTTAAAGTTGTATTTTTTTTTTACAATTTTTTTAAATACAATTGAATTTTTTATTTTTAAAAAAAAAAAAAAATAATGGAAAAACTAAATAAAATAAAAATAATAAATATTGTTTTAAATGATCCTTCTATTTTATTTAATGAAAGACGTTTAATGAAAGGTTTATAAAATAACCCAAAATATATATAAACACATTTTACACACACAGTTTTAAAATAAAGAAAAAATTCAAAAAAAATTTTTAAAAATTTTTTTCAATTGAAAAAAAAAAATGCTAAGTCGAAAAAAAGGGTCCACAATTATTAAATTAGTTATTTAATTATTAAATATTTAAAATTAATGAATATGAATATATAAATATATTTTGAATTTGAATTTAATGTCAAAAGATCGACTGAATTTTAAAATCTAAAAATCAATTATCCCAATAATCGAACATATATTATAGTTATATATTATGTAAAGGATTTTCTATAATTTAAATAAATAAATGTTGATGGTTATTTAAAAATATATACATATTAATATATATATATATATATATAAGCTTTTTAAAAACTATTTTTTTATATATATATATATATATATATATATATATATATTTATGGAAAAATATAGTTTTTTTTAAAAAAATATTTAATTTGATATAAAAACATATATATCAGAATATATTTTATAAAATATATAAAAAATTGAACAATTAAAGTTTTTTTCTTGCAGAATTTATTTAAAATTTATAAGAATATAAAAATAAAATGAAACACATTTTCATTGTAGAATATATAAAAATGATTGATATATATATTAAATTAAATCCCAGGTAAACTCTACCATGTTTAAAACTTTATATTACACATTTGTTAAATTACAAAAAAAACACTACCCATCAATTTTAATTTCATTTTTATAAAATTTTTATGCTATCATGATGATCCGGATTTAATTTAAAAGGGCTCTGGTGAAATAAATTATTATAATGGAATGTTTTAAAGTGGTTTTGTTTTTTTTTTTTTTTTTATATATATATTATATATATCTATATATATATATATATATATATATATATATGATATATATAAATATAAAATATAATCTTATAAAAAAAACAAAAATTTTAAAACAGCATTTAAACCTTTTACCTTTTTCCACATGATGGCAGAAAATTATTTTGAATTTTAAAATGATATTTTAAAATATATTTATGATATATAATTGATATTCAAAATAATCAACATATTATCTATAATATTAATTTACATATGCATATGATATCTATATAAAATGAAATAGACAATTCATATATTCTTGAATTAAAAAATGAGATAACATGTTCATTCTTATTTAGATGTTTTTTTATCAGGAATGTAGATAATTATCTTTAGATTTAAATATCACAATATTGTATATATATATTTATATATATAAATATATATATATTTATATATATATATATCATTTTTTATTCTTTAAAATGAAAATTTTAAAATTGTCTTTTCATTTTTAAATGATAATTAATAAAAATTATTTAATCAGCCTATTATAAAAGCTTTTCGATTAATCATTTAAAAATATTATATCAATATAAATATGATTATATTTAAATATAATAAATCTATAAATAATATATATAAATTGAATAGACATATTTATATTTGTTGTTTTCCGTGATGATCGTGATTCATACCATCGCAAAATTCTGATATTTTTTTTTCATTTCATTTCGATATTTATTAAACAAAATAGGCTCATATATTCATTTTGAAAAATCCGCATAATTTATATTTTTTCGAAATTATATTTCATTTTTAAATGATGGAAAGTTAATAAATATTTATATATTTTAGACAACACGGAAAAATTATAAATGAATATTATATATATATGTTTTGGTTTATTTTATATATAAATATGAAATGTTTATTGATAAATATATTTTATTCATTTATGATAAATCTTATCTTTCTCAATTTTAAAAAATTCTTTAAAAATGTATCTATCTATCTATATATATAAAATATCTATAGTTTTATTGACATATATATATATATATATTATTTATATTTTTTTTTTTTTTTTTTTATATCTTCTAGATTTAGAATCGAATTACTGTTTTTTTCTGAATTTTGAGGAAAATTTTTAAGATCTTTTCATTATTAATCTAACAATTTCTTTCCTATTTTTCTATGATATATTTTCTCTTTTCCAATTCTATATCTCGGTCTATTATCCTATCTCACTATATATGTAATATATATTTACAAATTGTCTATCTATCTATTATATTCATGAATTATATAATTTATCATTATATATCTATCATCATCTATATATATATATATATATTTATCAATCTTTCTATTTATATCTATCTATCTATCTATCTATCTTTTCATATCTATCATCTTCTATCTATCAGTCTCTTCTATATCTATCATCATATCTATCTATTATCTATCTATCTATCTATCTATCTATCTATCTTCATTATAAATCTTTCTATCCATATCTATCCATCTATCTATCTTATCTATCTATTTCATCTATTTCTATCTATCTATCTATCTATTCATCTATCTATCTATTATATCTATCTATCTATCTATCTATTTCTTCATTATATATATTATCTATATCCATCCATTTATCTATCTATATATCTGGGTTCATCTATTATCTATATATATCTATCTATCTTCTATCTATCTATCTATCTATCTATCATCTATCTATTCATCTATCTATTATCTATCTATCTATCTATCTATCTATCTATTCTATCTATCTATCTATTTATCTATCTATTCATCATTGAAAAATCATTTTCTATCTATTCTATTATCTATCTATCTATAACTGTTATCTATCTTATGTTTTCAATCCCCGTTATATAATTATCGTCTATTTATTTTCTATCCATTCTATTTAATCAGTTATATATTTTTATTTAAAACAATATTTATATATCTTCGTCTATTTCATGTCTAAAAAAAAACCTAAAAGTTATTTATCTATCTATCTATCTATCTATCTATCTATCTTCATCTTTATCTATTTATCTATCGCCGTCTCTTTCTATATATCTATATCTGTTATAAATCTTCGCCTATTTCTATCTATCTATCTATCTATCTATCTATCTATCTATTTCTTCATTATATATCTTTGTCCATATCCATATATCTGTGTTATATATTAATCATGTATTGAATATTCCATCTATCTATCTATCTATCTTAATATCTATCTATTCACAGTCTAAAAATCATTTTCTATATCTATCTATCTATTTTGCATTATATATCTTTGTCCATATAAATATATCTGTGTTATATATATGTTCTATTTCATTATCTATCTATCTATCTATCTATTAAAAATCATATCTATCAAATCTATCTATCTATTATAAAATCAACATTAATCTTATATCTATTAAATTTGTCATAAATCTATATCTATCTATCTATCTATTAATATATCTAAATATTTTATTATTATCTTCTATCTATCTATATTATCTAAATCTAAAAATTTATATCTCTTTAAATATCCAAAATTCTATCTAGTATTGATTGATAATCGTCTATTTTTTCCGTTATTATCGTCGTCTATCTTTTTTTGAAAATTTTTTTGATGAGTTAAATTTTTAAATATTTTTGTCTTTATATATCTAAGTCTATTTCTATGATCAATATAAATATCTATCAGATGAATCTATCTATCTATCTTCATCTTTATCTATTTATCTATCGCCGTCTCTTTCTATATATCTATATCTGTTGTAAAATACATCCTATTTCTATATATATTGTCTATTTTATCTATTAAATATCTATCTATTTCTGAAGTTTTATATATCTTTGTCCATATCCATATATCTAAAAATATATATCTTTAAAATTTCTATTTTATCTATCTATCTATCTATCTATATAAATCTATCTATCTATATCTATTCATTATCATCTATCTATCTATCTATCTATTTATTTTTTTTTATATCTTTGTAATATGATATATATATTGTTATATAAAATATATTCATTTCTATTTATTTATCTATCTATCTATCTATCTATCTATTATTTATTCTATCTATCTATCATAGTCATATTCATTATCTATCTATCTATCTATCATCATACTATATAACTATTATTTATCTTTTCTCTCTTGTTCGTTATATATCTCGTCTATTTTTTCTTTATTATCTCTATTTACATCAAAATATATTTTTTATTATTTTCAAAATCAATAAATCTTCGTTTATTTCTATTTGTTTACCTACCTATCAAAAAATGATCTATTATCTATCTTTTCTAAGAACTCATCTTTATCTATTTAATATCGCCGTCTCTTTTATATATTATATCTATATTTAGAATCTTCTTTATATGCCTAATTCTATTATTTATTCTATCCGTCTATCTATCTATCTATCTATCTATCTATTAATCTATATTTTTGCGGCTTATATTAAATTCCTATCTATTAAACAAAGAAAATAATTTTAAAGAAAGAAATTCGAAAAAAATGTTTTACAATACATTCATAACACTCAACTTACCTGCCAAGTTTTTTATGTGAATGAAAATCGATAAAATTGAATTTCAATTTATCAATTTTTTAAAAATGTATCAAATTTTTTGTTTTATTTATTTTTAATTTCAAAATAGTCCTTCTATTGCATATTGCTGTCATATATGGACTGATGCTCACTCTGTACATCTGGAGGTCCGCGAAATTTTATCTACACAATATGCAATTTTTTAATAGGCAAGATCTTTTATCCAGTCTTTTTTATCCCAAGACGAGCCATGGAAAGATTTGTCTTTTCTAAAGCCTTTAAAAATAAAAATCATAGAGATTCTGTTTAAAAGAAAACTTAATGATCACCAAGAAATAATTCATGGCCAAAATTTGAAATGGCATTCGCGCCGGAATCTCCAATACAAATATTTCAGAGTGTTTGGGTGTCAATCTGAGGTTTAAAAAAATTAGAAATAATCTGGATGATGATTACGAAGGTGTTTGGAATGATCACGAAAATGATGGCGACGTTAGGACACCATTCAGGTTCCCAAAGGGCCCAGAATTAACAGTTGTCGCCTTCATCAAGTCTCCTTGAATAGGTTTAAAGAGGAATGGCTAAATAAAAAGACCCTTTTATCTTTAACAGGACTCTGCACCATGCCAAAAAGTTAATTTATTAAATTAGGCATGGCTGTCAGACAATTTCTGCGACCAAACATCCCTTTTTTCTCTGGCCTAACTCCCCAGTCTATAAACCCTTGAATATTGTGTTTGATTAATTTCAAAACTCATCATTTTAACAAAAAGACAAACTAAAGGAAAAATTATTTTGATAGCAAGGCATTTTTTCAAAAACAAGGCGAACGTTCAGAAGAGTTGCAGAAGATTCTTGAGGCCGAATTGATTAATGACGAAATATTGAATAAATTTAAGTTTTAGTATTTTAAGATAATTTTCATTCCAAAACGAAATTGTTTATATATATATTTTTAAATATATTTTTGTGTAATTTTGGTAAATATATCTGTTAAAATGAGATTTCAGTGTTATTTTCATTTCTTGCGTAATTTAGACGATAATTTATCCATCGCACTCTGTACAACGCATACAGAAAGATAGTGTCTTGATATACAGGTAAGTGGGTGACCATATATAGTTTTGGCACAGGTTTTTTAAAATTCATTTGTTCTTAAAATTGTTTACCTTTAGTTCTAATATTTTTTGGTCGTCTTTATATATAAAGATGTGTATTTTTTGGGGTGTTTTATAAAGGATCTTAGAAATTTGAGCTAAAAAATTTTCCTGTTTCCTATATTAGAGAAACGGTAAATATTAAAATCATAAGTTATTTACTGGACTATCTAAAAACCTATATAAGGAACTAAATATTTAAATTTTATCGATATCTTACTTATTATAAAACGCAGATTGTTGTGTGTGTGTGTGTGTGTGTACGTTTATATATTGGATCGGATTTCCTACATTTTTCAACCGATTTCAACAAAACTTCACAGGACTACGTAAAAATTACCTTGCGGTGGTTCTGACAGCGCCAAAAATTGAAAAAACACAATTGTTTTTGCACGAAATCAATTTGAAAACACGATTAAACACGATTCTGTCGCCAGAATGAAAGGGGACAACTCATATCGAGTTATACTTATTATAAAACCCAGGTTGTGTGTGTGTGTGTGTGTGTGTGTGTGTTTATGTATGTGTGATATATGGGATCATTTTCCTACATTTTTTCAACCGATTTCAACAAAACTTCACTTTTTTTTTTTTTTTTGGTAGTGTTTCTTATTGTCTTGCACACTTTTTTTTTATTTTTTACATTCAGAATGCTTTAAAAATTCCATTTACAAGACAATTGTTTATAATAAAATTCTATTCAATCGATAGACTCATAACGATTGAAAACAATGTTTTTGTTTGAGTTTGGGTTTGACCAATTCGTAAAAAAAAAACAAAAAAAAATAATTAAGACATGCGTGTCCGTCAACCTTAAACAATAATCTTTGTCAATTTTATTTTTCAGTTTTTATGATGGTCGATTCTTGATCTTTCTCTTACTGTTACATCCCCGTGCAACGCCGGGTTCTACTGCTAGTAATAAATAAATGCAGGAAAAATATTAAGTAGACGTTTCTTAAAATTCAGATATTTGAAAAAACATTTAAAATAATTTACGATATAATCTGTTTTACCTGATATGATGAAAAACTACTATTTATTTACAAGGAATCATTCGACAGGTGAACATTGCCAGATAAGTCACTTTCTCATAGACGTGATATGGCTTCCCTCTGTCTTTTCTACAAATATTTTCATGGAAACGGTTCTGATGAGTTATTTTCACTGTTGCCCTGACTACATGAATTTAAGCATGCTACTAGATTGGCATCTAGGTCCCACCTTTTTACGGTTGAAATAGTTAAATGCAACAAGCCAATTCTAATCATTTTAAATTCTAGCGCTTCCAAACAAAAAGGAACTCTCTTTTGTTTACTTTTTTTAAAAAACTACAATATTCAAAAATTTAAATGCAACGTCAATCGCCATCTTCTGTTGCTTTGATTCCCAAAATCTTTTTTATATTCTTTCCCTCTATACAAGTGTTTCATTTATTAAACTTTCACTTAAATTCTGTAACGCCTTGCGTGCTAGTGGCAATCCCTTGCCTTTTGAAATTAAATAAATTTTTTAAAAAAAAAAAATTGATGCTTGTTTAAAATCAGACAGGTTGGGATATTTAACGCAGGGCCCTAAAATTTAATGCCGTAGTATTTATATTAATTTAAAATAATTAATACGATTCATTAGTCACCAGGATTTAAAATATTTATATAACGAAATACAAACCGTTGTTTCGTATTTATTTTGATTTTAAGCGGAATTTAATACTACGTGCGTATATAAAAGAACTTAATAAAACACTATTATTTATCATTCCATTACAAAAACTTACCGACACCCTTCCGATCAATAATTGACCAATTTGAAAATATTTTTGATTGACATTATAAGATTCAAAAAAAGATCAATTATTTGATCATATTTTACGAAGATATTTTTTTGGTAACCATTCGTGTTTTCATTTCAAACCTGTTTGATGTACATGACAATATACTTATAGTAGTTTATTGTTTAATTCCGTGAAAGGTACCTTAATAAGATATTTTTATTCAAAAATGCTTCATCAAAAATTGATTTCAGTGAAAAAAAGCGGAAGAAAGGCGTGACCTAGGCGACAACATCGAAGATTACTGAAATGATTTTAAATTTGATACGGACGCTAGGTATTTACTTTGTCTCTCCACTAAGACGAGTTGTAACATAAAATCTTTTTAAAAGTTGGGGCATTTTTTTTAATTTATGGAAAGAAATGGAACAAAAAAAGGATGCTGATCGGCCCCAATTTTGACTTATTCTTTGGCAAAAGAAAAACCGATATCCATTATATCTCTCTCCATTTTCTCTCTCTCTTATTCTCTTCTATCTCTTTCTTATGGTAAATGTATAAATTCTATATATGTTCCCCAAATTTGAAGGATTCTCTTCAGTTGCGAAATTGTCCCTTGACGGATTTCAATTGTTCTCTGGAAAACTGTGAAAATCTTCGGAAAATATATTACCAAACTGAGAGATGATAAATACATTTGAAAAATGAAACCATTTTGTAGAGATGTTACACCCTTTGATATAAAATTTTGGTTTAAAATAAGATAAAAAATTATTAATGTGCCTCGCTTCACTACTATATATACTGGTCTAAATACCTTTTTAGTAAATACGTAACATTTCATATAGCTCGTGTAATGCGGCCTCAGCTTCTACGCAATTGTAGTATTTCTACCGTTCAAATATTATTGCAGGACAAGGGTGTTAAATTTACATATTTCATGTGCATTGGTCTTCATTCTTTTTTTTACAAAGCTTTGTCTAAAATCGTGAGAAAAAAAAAAAAAAACAAAAATAAAGAACTGAACGTAAAATAAGATAAAAAGATTTAGATCCAGGCCGTATTTTTTACATGATTTTGACAACCTAATTCCGGGTAAACAGCAAAAAAAAAGATTAGACTGTTTTTTTCAAAATAAAAAATTTATCAGGGTTCTTTTTAAATAAATTCACTTTGATGAAAACTTTAACAGGTTTCTTGCCTGACAATTGCGTCGTAAATGAAACTCAGATTTGAATTTATTCACGTTGAAAAAAATGTAAATTTTTCTTTTACAGTCATATCAATATATATATATATATATATATATATATATATATAAGAAAAAAAATTTTTAAACTTAATATTACGCGACATATTTTTTAAACTTTTAAGCAATCTTTTGATTTTTTGTTGGGTCCTCAGGCTTTACAGGAATTTAAAATTAACACATTTGTGTACAAAAAAAAAAATTGTAATAAAAAAAAAAAAAAAAAAGAAACAATTCAAAAATTCTTTTTTGTTTTTTTGATGTCTTTCCTTAATTATTTAACTTTTATACTTTAATTTCGATCATAAAATTTTCAATGTACAAAAATATCTTTAAATATATATATATATATATATATAATATTCTTGTCATATATATATATATATATATATATATATATATATATATATAATATGTAAGAAGAGGGATTGAGAGAGAAATTATAAAATTCGATAGAACAAAATTTAATCCAAGATGGCCAATGAATTGAAATATTAGAAAATAAAAATGGATGATACCAGACAGATTCATATATTTATATTTTCAAAAAAATTCTTGATTAAATGTATTTAAAAATTTCAAGTTTTTTAAATTTATGAATTTGATGAATTGTTTCATCTTTTGAAAATTTTTAATTAAGATTCAAACTTGTTAAAACAAAATATTTTTTCAAATTAAATGGATTTTTGCTGAAATATGATTCAATATTTATATATATATATATATATATATATATATATATATATATATATATATATATATAT